CATAGAGATGGTCCCGGGGATCTGTAGCCATAAATCGCGCGGTATCCATCATGGCTTCGATTAATAGGGAAAGAGGATCTGATATCGTATGGCTCATGAGCTCACGTGGTCCTATGAAAGTATTGGCTAACATCCCGTAGCCCTTGAAGTTGCGGAGGTCATCAGCGGCTTGCAAAAACGACTTGGTGCGAAGCCTCTTAGGTTTCAAATGGAGAGAGCGGCCTATTTGAACTAGGCCCTGATATAGATCATTGCTGCTGATCTCATTCATTCCGCACAGATAAAGGCGTTTCCTGGCTAGTACGTTTTCTTGGATCACCCATACTCTGTACCAGTACGGCCGGAGAAGTATGTCCCGAATCGCATCTGATTTAGATGCGAAAGCTATTGGGATCTCGGGTCTAGGCAGGGGAAGTATCATTGCGCGATTTAGTTCTGCGCACTTTTGTATAAACGGGAAAACCGAATCGTCATTTGTAGATGGCCCGAGCCAGCACAGGACTTCCCGAGCCTCTGAGTAGATGCGTGCCATGAGTGAAATCTGATGGCTCTTTTCGGAAGTGTCTCTCTGGTTCACGCATATTGTGTCCACCCATAGAAAGGACTTATTCGGTTTTGATCGCAAGGCTTTCAGGGCAGCATGGAGATTATAGGTGACGCCGAAACGAAGACCATTGAGAAGAATGGGCGTGGTGCAGTTCTCATCGCCCCATACGTATGAAAGAGCTTTGAAAGGAGGCGATTGATCCAAGCTCTTGGTGTAGAGATTGACTTTTATAACTTCGTCGTTGCTCTTTGCTGATTCGATCTTGAGTAAACGAATTTGAGGGGAGTCACCTCGATCTAGTTCTCTGAAGGTATGTCAGAATGCGACTTGTATCCCATATGCATTGTCTCCTCACTTGTAGGGGTTTTGGTCTTCCATGATGTCGGAATATGGAGGTGCCATTAAGTTGGTCTTGGCTTTAGAATCTCCGGATGCCATTTACGATTTGAGCCTGATGGTCTTTAGCACGTCATATGTACTCAAAGTAATGGTTAGGTCGCCGTTGGGCATCCAGGCTGAGAGCCTGGCTGGTCTGCCTTGGGCTGGGCCATCAACCACTCATGCAGTCAAGCTGCACCAACTTCTGATGCTCAAATTGATAGGCTGAGCCCTGCACACCATGAATTTACTCTCCTTTGGGAACTGGACTGTGTTTAAATTAGGTAGACATTAAGGTCTCAAAGGTCTTTTGGACTGCGACCTATACAGAACCTAAGTATGTACACTTTGGCAAGAGAATATGGAAGCAAAGAAGCACTCTCCTTTAAAGTATTCACGCTTGCTCCCTGTACGGACTTGGTACGCTCTTCTCAGCAAAGAACCACAGTCTCCCAACGAGGATTACAGTCCCTCCACTGGCTAAGCCAGACATATCCCACCCCGACCCTCCTAGCAACAAACTGCGTACATGGCACCCTCTCAACAAGCATGACATTAAACCGCCACATCTCATGAAACTGCCCCTCGATAAACGCCCACTCATTGCTCTCACTGACTTCCGTGTCAACAGAAGCACTAATGACGATGAAATCGAGCAACATCCTCCGATCCCTCGCTCCTCTTCGTCCTGAAATCCAACGGGTGTCCATCTTATCCAGATACCCAACATGTCTCCCCATCATATCCAGAATCTCTGCATCCTCACAGCCACCCCTCCTCGCGCCCATCATCCTCCGATCCCTCCCGACTCGGAGCGAGGCAACAGTCGTGTTGAACACCAGCGCCCCCGGTAAGCCAGCGGCTACCTCGATGGCCTCCGGATCGAGCTCCACGTGCGCGAGAGCCTCCCAAGGGCTGTGCGGACACTCCCGCCACATGGTGACGTACTTCTCGTTCGTCTCCTCGGAGACATTGAACTTGCCGCCGGCCATCTTCCTCTGCAAGGGCGGCAGCTTCTCGATCCCGCTCATCCTGGCCAGTTGCATACAGCTGCCCAGCCACCTCTCCGTCACCTTGACTTTACGCAGTCCATTCCCGTCGTCTTCATGCCTTGAGGAGACGCGTCTGGCATCATGTACGTGAAATTGCACCATCGTCACGATCCGCACGAGCTTGGTATCGTACAGTCGCGCATTACCGTGAATCCACCGATAACTAGCGGCGCTACCTCCCTCGACCGACGACCACGCCGCCCAACTCCAACTCGGGATATTCAAACCCGCGTCATCTCGACGGCGTACGGCGCCCGTGTGGCTCCACATGAGCGTTTGAGGGAGGTACATGTCCGGCAGGCCGAACGTCATCTTTGTGCGCATGGATTCGCCTACGGCGTTGCCGACGCCCGCGAAGGCGTTGAGGATGTCTGTTTCGCGGGAGAGCTGTCGCGAGGTATAATCTTCGACCCATTGGCAATAGTTTGCTAGTGATACTTGGCCGCGTAACTTGACTGGTGCGTCTTTGCTGTGAAGCGCTCGGCGATAGAAGCCGGGGATGCTGGGCATGCGGAACGGTTTCTTCTCGGTCTTTGATTCGTCGATGTCTTCTTGAGCTGTATGATGGGCTTCTGAATCGTGTTCATTGATGGACTCTTCCGCTTGGGGTGTATCTGCTTCCTTACTGAACACGTTTGTAGGAACTTCATGTCGTCCTCGTCCCCAAGTAAGTTCCTCGGCGGCGTGACCCCGACAGCATTGGAACAGGACCTGGTGCTCCGTGATGAAGATGCTGCGCCTGGAAAGTAGCCTCTCTTGGAATGTCCATCCTCTTCGGTTCCACAGGGATGCGTCGACTACTGTTTGCAGGCCGTTCGGGTCAATACCCTTCCCAACGTTCCGGTTCCGCGGCGGGCACCATAAGGAGGCGCGAGGCCTCCTAGGGTTGCCAGCATATCCAGGAAACCCATTTCCCTGTCTATCGTTGAGCGCGGCCAGGATTGAGAAAGACGCAGACTGGTAGATCCGGTCCATCCCGTCAATTTGGTCGGGCTTCGATCGCTCGTCATCCTGGACGATACAAAGACGGTCCACCCATAGATAGCCCTCTCCAAGATCTCTGCAAAGAGAAATCGCGTCCAGAATGATGCGTGGTAGCTTGACAGACTTGAGGCTCCCCGGAACTTCCAGGTCCTCTGCGTTTGTCGTCTCCAGTTGGGCATGTCCCGGTGCCTCGGAAGCTTCCCACATATAGCTGAGAGCAACGAAGCGGATAGGCCTTAACGGCTTGACAATTTTCATTTCGTGGACATCAATGACCCTGAACCCGATGGGTAGATGATCTGTTGTCCTGTCAGAGTCCATGCGCACAGAGTCGAGCTACCCATGGCCACATACCAATCGACTTGTACTTGCTCACGCAGTGGTGGCCGTGAAGAATCTCGCAGCCATCAATCCAAACCTTCAAGGTCTGAACGTCAAAATGTTCAGCCTCCCAAATTTCAATTGCCTGTAGCCTCTGAGGTTCATCTGTCGAGTATCTGAAGAGAAACTGAGGCGTGACCGCAAAAGGAGATGGGAGCGAACCCAAAGCCCCCAGCTTCGACTTGTCTGGCACGGCACTCAGAGTCAATTCCAGAAACAACCTGACAGAAACTTCATCATCGGAAGAGGCGAACAACCGATACTTCTGGTCCTCAGCTAATCCCGAGTCAAGGAAGAAAGGGCCCTGGACTGTAACGAACAAGCAGGCTTCGGAGCAGTCATGTAACCAGTCATCTTCCCGCCGGCGCGCCTCGACAGCCGCGGCGATCGCGCAGCAAAAGAGACAATTTGACGATCGAAGTGAGATGTTCTCCAAAGAGAGGTAGTGGTGTGCCTTGGATCCCAGGCCGGCAGCAAAGTCGGGGACGTCCCAATCCTGGCACCGCTCACATAGTCGTGGGTTGGAGTTGGTCTGTCTGCGCTTCTGTACGAGCTGCGCGACGCGTGGGAGGTTGGTGGCGGAGGCGAGGCCCCCGAATGAGACGGCTTCGGGTCTCTTGGTTCTTGGGAGCATTCAATAGATTGGAGATCGAAGTTGACGATATTCGGATCAGGCGAACGTTCGTTAGTGGAGTGGAGATGGTGCCGCAACAAAGGCTTATGTTGGCATATGCTGAATGGTGCGAAAGTTGCCGCTTCAGAGTGTGAGAAGAATTGGAATGATAAGGCTTGATTTCGTTGGAGTTGTAACAGTTGTATAAGACAAAGGCTCAATGTTGAAGAGGGTTTAAAGAGGACGTTGGTGATGATGGAATCGTTTTGTACATCTGAGCGAGAAAGTGTGGGGTCAGCTGTTTCCTGAGCTACCAAACGGGATTTCGGTTTGCTGACCAAGATGGCGCTGATTCCGCTACTACCTTAGCTTGAGACTAAATCAACCATGACGACGTGCTTGTCTCGTCTTAGCGAAGGCAAAGTGATTGAAATCAATCGACATACGCGAATGTATACTAATTGGCGATGTTGGTTCATTCGGTCTGTTGTGGACTCGGCTGAGTAAACGTCGGAGCATTTTGCACGGAAGAGGACACCGGAGGGTGGACTGAAGACAAACAATCATATACGATGAACCGAGTCAAGGCCTCTTCGACAGCATGGCAAGCCCAAAGACAGACCTCTTGCATTCCGTTGAACTCCCACCCTATGCCCCATGGCCAGCGACCTTCCTATTGTACATAATTCGACATCTCCACGCTCTGTTTCTTTTTCGACTTTCCGCTGCAACCCATGGATTGCGTACTGAGTTTTCCAAGGAGAATCCCTTTCCCCTTTACCGTTAATTTCGTGTACATGGCCAGACAGTGTAGGAGACGGTCTGCTGCGTGTAGTCTTCCAGACCCTTAGTCCCCATCCTGTATCAGGGTCAAAGACCGGCTGGAGACCACACACTTGTAATTAATAATTTGTAGGTAACGAACGTGGAGTGTGCTGTAATGCTGCACATCACTGAAGGGTGATGAGACACGAGGAAAGACGTATTCTATACAGGTAAGAAGGTTATAGGAAATGAACCGCGTAGTAGACATTGGCTTCGTTGATCATGCATAGAAAGCCTCGAAGAAGTAGATGAATCCGAACACCAGGAAAGCAACAGCGCCACCAACCGTAACTGTGATATATTAGCTAGGAGCTTGTGGCGTAGATGTCATGACAACTTACCAACTTTGAGACTGACACGGCCTGCGATGGCGCGGCCGCCAATAACGGCAGCACCTGTGCAGATGCAGTGGCCAACCATGGCACCAAGAATAACCCACCAGTAGTCCTGTCCTGCAGCCATGGCAATCGTTGCGATCTGACTGCGGTCGCCCCATTCACCCAGGAAAGTCATGACAAACGTTTGGACCCAAGCAGGGCTGAGAAGAAGACCGAGGAGGTTGTTCAGACCGTTAAGAGAGCCTCTGATGCCACCGGAACCAGGAGAAGGGCTGCGAGGTGGCGAAGAGGAAGGCGAGCGCGGGGGCGAGGGGAAACGGCTCTTAGACCTAGACTTCCTGCTGCCGTTAAGGCCCATTTCCAGCGCGTAGGGAGACACCGCAGAGCCCCGTCTCTTACCCTCCTTCTCCTTCTCGGCCAACTCGCGCTCAACCTCGTGTAGCTCGGCAGTCACACCCTCATTAGGGTCCATGCCCAAACCTTCACGAAGGAGCTTGGCGCCAAAGACGAAGAACAGGCCAGCAGCGAGGAAGCTGGTGACACGCTTGGGGATCAAAGTCGGGACAGCGTGACCGAGAACGGCCGACAAGACCGTCATAACCAAAAGAGCACCAAAGGCGGCGGAGAAAACGACCATCCGATCATGCTTCATGGCCATGAGGGCAGCCACAAGGAAGGTCTTGTCGCCAACTTCGGAGACGAGAATCATGGTGAGAGACAGGACGAAGGAGTGGAAGGGTTGAATGACGCCCTCAGCTTCGTCGTCGAGGCTGGAAGAAGATTTGCCCTTGGACTTTGAAAGATCCAAGTGGTCCTTGTGCGCCGAGTTGGGGAGCGGGTTGGGCTTGTCGTCGAGCTTGTCAGGGAGGCCGGCCGGTTTCTGTTGCATGTCAGCATTTCACGTCTCAACCAATGGGATGGCAACCAAGAAACTCACTTCGAGCCCCGCAACCTCGTCGGCAGTGTGGTGGTCATGATCGTGTTCTTTGCCAGTGGTGGTGTCCTTTTCGCTCGAAAGCTTCTCCTGTTCACTGTGCGGCAGAGGGGGCTTCTCCTTGGGGGCCTCGGGCTTGTTGTCGGCCTTTTCGCCAGTCCGGCCCTCGGCTGCCTTGCGCGCCTTATCCTTTTCGCTGACACCTCCTTCGGTGCCCGTGGTTCCCTCCTTGGGCTTCTGGCGTGTCTTGTCGTTCATGACACCGTCGTTGGTCTCGGGAATCTTCTTGCCATCGACAACAGTTGGGTCGGACGGACGTCCCTTCAAGGGAGGCAATCCCTTCTTGCCATCTGTTTCGGCACTCTCTTTCTTGGTCTCTCGGGTCTGGTCAACGAAGGGACCCTCGTGGGGCATGCCATCTTTGCCATCGACAGGCGCGTGATCGGTGCCGTATCTGGTCTTGATGCCAGAGGTGACGGTCGAGTCGGTGGCCTTTTCGGTGGAAGCTACGGCCTTGCCGCCATTCTTGTCCTTGGTTTCGACGGCGAGGCCAGCGACGAGGGATGGGATAAGGAGGAGGAGTAAAGGGGAGGGTCGAGTGCGCAGCCTCATGATGACTCGTTCGGGCTGTCGAGCCTCGCTGGTATCTGGACAATGGATGTGAAATGTAAAGGAGAGTTTGCAAGTAAGCTCGAGAAATATTCTGCTCCTCTGCTAAGGGGGGGAAAAGAAAAGGAAGGATGTTTTGGTGGTTTCTGATTGACTCTGGCAATGCGACTGCTCAGCCACGGGTTCTAAAATTGTTACGTATCTTTTGCTGCACGGCCACGGGGTAAGCAAGTACCTGAGGGTACCTGGGACGTGAGGTGGGAAGAACTGGACGCGCCGCCGCCCATCGCGGCCCCCCATGTTCCGAATCCCTTGAGGCGCCCCACAGGGGGCGACATTGGGGATCATGGAACCCCTAGAATGTTTCCGCCAGAGAGGCTCTGAAGGGGATATTTACATAGAGGACAGCTGAAATGTCGGATAACGGCTTTAAGACATATAGGCTTATTAAACAGTTGAACTGCAGACAATCGACTGTTCATGCATGCGTAGGGTGTAAAACAAACTTTCAATGCCGCCGTACATATGTATAACAGCTAAATTAATAGATAGGAACGTCCTCGCTGAACCCTTTGCCATCATTTCGTGAACCGGTTGGTGTACTCGAAAACACACGACACTCAAAGGTGTGCTGCGTTACGTTTGACTCGCATTTGACCAGGTTGCATCCAGGCGACCCCAGATTTGCTGACAGAATTCCAAGAAGATGCTTGGCTCGACCCGAAAAAGGTACGTATCTCTAAAGTGCCCGAGGAGAGCTTCAACAGCTGGCGCCACTGACTTGCCGGAGCTTACAGCAGCTGTGCTATCTTATCTCCGCCGTTTGGTCCAGGACACCCCACCTCCCCCAGGGACTGAATGAATGTCGTCACGAATGACCACTTCTTCATGAAACATAATCTGAGCGTTGCGTCCTATTGTCTTTCCTGATCACTTGAATCGTCTTGCTCTCCTGCACGTCAGCCTTAGAACGCACCACGTACATATAGCTCGGCATCTAAACGATTGTCACGGACATTCTTGCATAGGACCCTCCATCACACGTCGGCCGTCTCAAATCCGAGCTCCGTTGTATCACTAAGCATCAATCCGAACTTCCGTGTGAACCCAAAGCCAAAATGGAAGACTCTGGAGACAGCATTCGATCGCCATCAGCAAGCATGAATTTAATTGAAGAGGATGATGAGCCTGCCTGGACTTATACCTATGATCCGGAAGATGCCGAAGGAATGGACGACGACGATGAGTACGACCCCGACTTTCAAGACGAGCCAGAGGAAGAAGACGGAGACGATGATGATGAGTATCACGGTAGCAATACCTCTTTTTCACGTTGAACCATATAGAAACTTACCATGCGCAGATGCTGAGGACGGCGAGGACAGCAACGTAGAGGTGGAAGTGTTCATGGGTGCTGGCGACGAGGACGACGATGATGCTGAGGAAGACGGCATGGCCGCTAATCCAATATCGAGACTCATGACTCTCATCAGTTAGTCAAAACTTATCCTCGAGTAAAACCGTGTGCCAACCTCGCTAATCTACGATACAGCCGGTGCTGCGGGCAACGGAACGGGGTTTCTTACACGAGCACAGCTGCTAGGCCTCATCCAAAGTGGCGAAGTGACATTACGCACCACTCACGACGAAGAAGACGATGACGAAGATATTGGCTGGGGAAGAAGACGCAGACGGCCTCGCGCACGGGAGCCGAATCGGTTCCCTAAAGTACCGAGCGAAGAGGGCACGAAGTTGATGCACTCTGGCGTTTTCGGCGCAAACGATTACCGAGTCACGAAGAAGAAGCAACTGGCACGCAGGATATTAGACCGTGAGCTTGGTCTGGGGGATAGGCGCGACCGGAAGCAGAACCAAGATCTCATGGCCCAGGGCATGATACCCTCGACGAACCCCGAAATGATTGTGCACTACGACGACCCAGTGTATTCCGGCCAGTTCTCCGACGACGGTAATTTCTTTTACGCCTGCGGTCACGACTTCAAGGTCCGCATGTACGACACCTCGAATCCGTACAATTGGAAATATTATAAGACGGTCCATTACCCCTGGGGACAGTGGACATTGACCGACGCATCCTTAAGTCCTGACAACCGCTGGCTCGCTTATACCTCAATCCAAAGCAACGTTTGTCTGGCACCTACGGATCCCAACGACACGGGAGACCCATACACATTGGATCTGGCAGAGAGGAGTGCGGGAACTCGACACGCAGGATGGCGATCGAGACATTCCTTTGGTATTTGGTCTGTCAGATTTTCGGGAGATGGTCGTGAGCTCGTGGCCGGCACCAACATGCAGTCGATCGTCGTCTATGATATTGAATCGCGCACTGTGTTACACAATGTCGTCGGCCACGAAGACGACGTGAACGCTGTGTGCTTTGCAGACAAGTCTTCTCCGCACATTCTCTACTCTGGATCAGACGATGCCACCATCAAAGTCTGGGATCGACGTAGTATGGGAGACGGCCGGCCAGCTGGCGCTTTCGTGGGCCACGTCGAAGGTCTCACGTACATTGACAGTAAAGGCGACGGTCGATACATTCTGAGTAACGGCAAGGACCAGACGATGAAGCTTTGGGACTTGAGAATGGTCATGTCCACGGCCAAGTACGACGAGGTCAACCCCACTAGGTTAACCAGCAACAGCGACTTCGATTACCGGTGGGGAACATATAGGGACGAAGACTGGTTCCCGCACCCCAACGATAACTCGTTGGTGACGTTCAGAGGACATCGTGTAATGCGCACGCTGATTCGATGCCACTTTTCACCGCCATCAAGTACCAATTCGCGTTACGTCTACTCTGGTAGTCAGGATGGCAAGGTTTACATTTGGAACATGGACGCCACGCTCGCTGGTACCATCGACGTGAGGAAGGCCACCAAGAACTCGCGGCCACTGGAGCGCAGATACCGTATATATCACGGCGACGACTTCCCCGGTTGGAACACGTGTGTGCGTGACGTGAGCTGGCATCCCAATGCGCCAGTCCTCGCTGGTAAGTCCTTCATATCATGCGAGTCTCGGGCTGTAGCTAACGTCTTTCAGCGTCTGCATGGAACGGATTCAACATGGCTCATGGGACCTGCACGCTGCATTCGTACAACGAAGCCGAAGATGACGAGGCAGAGCCGCCAATGGGTCGCAATGTCGACGAGAAGCTGCGCCCCGTTGGCGAATCATTCCAAAGCTAGTTACTTCTCGTCAGGAACCGGTTCACTTTTGAGAAAGCGCTGTGGGATGATTATTTTAATTATTTTGTACATCTTCCACACATGTTCCACCCCTCTTTTGGCAATGATACATGATCGATGAAGCCTCTTTGGTCTCGGGGTATCTCCCATCACTCCCGCACAGAACCTCTTCCAAGTGTTGCTGCGCCGCTTCTGCACTCTGCCCGTGCAATGCTTTTGAGACCCATCCCTGCGTTAGAATTCATGTTTGGTCGTCACGTGTCGACGTGAAGGTGTTCGAGAAGCTGGCCCGATATATCGGTGCTTCCATTGAAGGTAAATACATGGCGCTTATGCGCCTCCGACAAGGATGTTGTTAAGGGGGATGTGAATCAGCTTGACGATGTAGCCGACAGCACCCATGATGAGGAAACCGACACCGACGGCCTGGCAGAGCTTCAGGAACTCGAGCTTGTCGGCTAAAGGACACGTTAGTATTCGAATAGCGAACGGGCAATGCAGCACGAGGGCGCAACGTACGCTTGGTGCACCTTCTCATGAACTGAACACCTTCCTGAGCGAACTCGGAGGGAACCTCGAGGATCTCCTTGACTTGGTCGGCCATTGTGGATAGAAGCGCGCGTGGGATGCGGAGAAGAGAAAGGGGTGGGTAACTTGATGAAAGTCGCAAAGGAAATCCCAATGGGCCGCAGGGTAACAGGAAACTGCAAAGTCGATGAAGGAAAGGCGCGACGACGTGTAGTTAAGGCGTTGTAGGTCGGGGAGGTGGAAGATTCGAGAGGTTCGAATGGGTAGAAGGGAGATGTGTTAAATTGAGCGCGCTGTCACCAACTGGTCCCCAAAATTTCGGGACAAGCTCCCGCTGTGGAAGGAAGAGCCAGATTGCCATTAAGGAGGCATGGAGGAATTATGCGCCGGCCGCCGAGGCGCACGCCACTGGACAGATTGCTTATCTAAGGTTAGGATGATAGGAGTCCCCTTGGTGCTCCCCTTCAGTGGAGGAAGACCCCCCTGGATTCCCCCGCTGGTGGGTAGAGAGGGTCTGGTCTGGGCCATTTTGACCAGCCACAGTTCAGCGCATTCAGGCACATGACAGGGAGAAGGAGTAAGGTACGTATCGGCTCAGCGGGCAGTCGCGAGCCCCATACGGGCATCCACTGGCGGAGTCTGTGCCTGCCGCAGCCTGGCGGCCATGGCCCTTGTCGGTTCCCGCCTGGCTCAAGATGCGACCTCAGCTCCTGAAAGAGCTCCCCCCAGTTTTCTTTCCCTTCCCAAACGTTCCTCCACTCACCTTCGTCGACTGCATCTCTGTCTTCGCGTCAACATCAAACCGAGACGTCCATACCTGACCTGCACGACAATATCACAGCTCTACCCAAGCTATCCTACGCGTCGGTCTTTCGGGCATCGCGATAAACGCCACATACTCAGCGAAGCGACGCGCAGCCGCAGCTTACTCGCGAACCCGCCGGAAACCTTCATTGGGCTTCTTTGACCACTAACTCATCACGGCTAACAGCATCGCCCACATAGTGAGCGGGCAGGAACGCGGTTGGAGCGTCGGCCAAAGGCGGTGGCAGAACGAGCAAACAGTCTCTGGAATCTTGGGATCCTGTTTCCATTCTCGCTCATCCCAACTACATCATCTTGTTCCCTGTACCTAAGGCTTCTGGGCCGAACAAGGAAAGAACTACGGTCACGTCGCCATTGGGGAAGACCGGAGCACAGAGCTTCGTCTTCATTTTTATTTGGCTAAAGGAGAGGATTGTATTGGCTTGGCAATTTCCATCCAACCTCTTCCATCCTGTCTACGGAACGAGGAGTGTACGTATCAGATGTTCTCTGTTTTCTATCCTACGTTCGAGTTTGTCTTTTGGCTCCAGACTTTGGCAATGACCCTGTATTGGCAGCGGCTGATGATCATGTTCAAGACTGCAGACATATCCTGTATCTCGCAGACTAATAACAACCCTTTTCCAACTACAACCAAGCTCACTGCCCCAACTCACGGCTACCAGATAATAACGTCACCATGGCTGAGGAGGAATTCGAGATCGATATCTACGGCGATGCGCCCCAAGATCACCAAGACGGAAACGCCGAGAACTACGACGGAGCCAACGGTCATGCGGACAACCACCAGGAACAGCATGACCAGCTGGAGCACCACGACGATCAGCAGAAGCACGACCAGCAGGAAGAATATCACGATCAGCAAGAGGCGCCTGCTCCCCAGCAGGGTGTCAAGAGAAAGGGCGACGACCGGCCGATCGATCCAGGCGCAACCACAGCTTTGATGGTTTCGGATCTAAACTGGTGGAACACGGACGACGACATCAGAGGATACGCCAGAGCAGGCCATTGCGAGGACGAGCTGAAGGATATCACTTTCAGTGAACACAAGGTGAACGGAAAGAGCAAAGGGTACGATTCGTGGTGTGAGGTAGATTTGCATGTACTATTGCTGACTCCGCCCGCAGACAAGCCTACATTGAGTTCACATCGCAGCAAGCTGCCACGGCCGCCAAGCACGCTTTTGAGTCGACAGACAGCGCTCAAGGCGTACCGAAGAAATACCAGGTCACTTACTCGAACCCCCACGTCAACCCGTTCCGCACGCTGCCTAAGGATGCACCGAACCGCGCTGGTAAAGACCAGGGCAGCCGACCAAACAACAACAACTACAACAACCAGGGTTCCTCGATGGGTGGCGGCGATTTCCGTGGAAACGGCTACCGTGGTCGTGGAGGCTTCAATGGTCCTCGTGGTGGCATGAACCAGGGCGGGTTCAACCGCAACTTCTCGGGCGGTATGGGAGGTGGCTTCAACAATAACAACATGGGAGGCGGCGGCTTCAACAACGGCATGGGCGGCGGAAATTTCGGCGGCGGCGGTTTCCAGCGGGGCGGCGGCTTCGGTGGTGGCATGCGCGGCGGCCCCGGCATGCGTGGTGGACGAGGCGGTATGCACAACCCGATGGGCGGTATGAACATGGGCCCGATGGGAGGCATGCCCAACATGGGTATGCCTAACATGGGCATGATGGGCGGCGGAATGCCTGGTACGACTCCCCTTGCTTTTGAATCTCCCCAGCGAAATTACACCCCCCCAATATCTCGACTTGCCTATGGTTCAACCCAGAAGCGCAAGAACTCTGGTCGGCGAAAGGGCAAAGCTGCCAACACCGGCCGAGACGAGATCCCTTCGAGCACCAAACGGCAGAAGGTGCAACCGAAACATGTATCCGAACAACCAAAGCCTGTAATTGCACCAGAGGTCGGCCGATGGACAAAGGAGCACGGTTTGCAGTTTAACATCGTTGCCCATCAACCCCCTGCAGCTACTCGGTTCGGCTCGAGGATGCCACCTCACCACTAGGCTCCTCGCTGAATGTTCTTGACTGATTTCTCTGCTGTTTGCGTTCTCGTTTGTTCTTCGTCAGAGAACACTCAAGCTGACTCGTTCCCAGGATTCCAAGGCATGCCTCAACAATTCAACCCTGCATTCTTCGGCGGTAACCAGGGTGGTGGTAACGACTGGGGCAACCCTCACGGTGCTAAGCGACCTCGACCCGAGTAGGACTACCGGCCAAGGCAGTTTGCGCGATTTTGAGGTAATGGCCGGATCCGCTTATCGCAGCGCGATCCAGTTGTCACCGCGTCGTAGAGCTTTCGGTCACAACCTCCTCATCGCATCACAGTTTGGGTTCATTCCTTCGACGAGGACTCTCTTATCGACGAAATCTCTTCGCGCTTAACAGAGAGAATCAGTTGATCAAGGCCTCTAGTCTTCAGATGAGTGACGGGTATATTGGCTGCGACGTCACGAAGCTCATGGTTGCTACAGATGGATGATAGCAACCACCAAAATGCAAGATGTTTGCTTTGAGTTATTGTATGTGTACTATTAGAATATGGCTGCATGGGAACGATCCCTAGCACCTCGGTTACGGCGTTACAGTTCAGACCTGAAAAGCACAATCTACGACTGCGTTTCGTCATTTCACGCCTCGTTGCTCTTTCCTTTGCAGAAACCGGTAGATTATTGTGTATTGGAGACGTTCAACTTTTCTATCGTGCCGCGTACGAGCAGCTGTATCTGCTTCCAGCGAGCCACTACCATGTCCCGCAGAGACTGCTGACCTTCATCCAGGCCACGCACTGTCTTGATCTTGGACTCAATCTCCTCGTCGTACGCCGACAACATTTCTCGCAGTAACGCATCGACCTCGGGCTGCTCCGCCTCTCCGTCCGCAAACCCATCCACGAACTGCGCCCACCGTCTCGCCGGCAACACGAGCGTCCGCAGCGCCACCTGCGTACGGTAACACACCGTCTCCGCGTCAATGACATAGTTCCCGAGAAACCCCCTCTCCTCCAACCGCCGCCTGTGCGCGGCGCCCAGGCGCGGCAGCAGCACATCGTCGATACAGACCTCATCCCACTCGTTTTCGCCCTGGGCCATGATGAAGCCGTACTCGACGAGGAGGAAATCGTTGCTGTGGCGGCCGTAGCAGATGTGGATCTCCTCGCCGGGGACGTAGGCGCGGTCGGCCTTGATGGTGAAGGAGTGCTTGTCAAAGGCGACGGAGCAGCCGCGGGAGGCGTGGTTGAGGAGGTCGGCGACGGGTTGGAGGACCATGTGGTCGTCGCGGTGGCGTTTTGCGGTTTTGGGGGTGACGTGGTAGAATGTGCGCGAGTTTACGAGGAGCCAGGCGTGGAGGTAGGATTCGTATGTGAGCTTGCCGTCGCTGCCTTCTGGGTAGTTGTACAGGTGCTCGTCATCCTGGGGCAGCGGGTTTGGGAGAGGGGTGGAGGAGACGAGGGACCAGTGGGATTCGAATTTCTCGCGCTGGGCTTTGAGGAGGGTGAGGGCTTGGGAGGGGAGGAGGGAGGCGAGGGTTGGCGAGGAGGAGGACCAGGTTAGCGGGCAGGAGGAGAGGTCTTTTGGTGTTGGGAAGACGGCGGACCAGCTTTTGAAGGAGGGGGATGCGTCGAGGGCGATGTCCAGGGCCAGGAGGGCGTGGACGTGTGTTTCTTTTGGGAAGGGGCGGGTTAGGGGTTTTGGGACTGTTGCGATTGTTTTTAGGCAGGGGATTGGGACGTCTAGGATTGTGTCGTCTTTCTGGGGTGGTGGTGGTGGTGTTAGTGAGATGAGAGTATATGATGGTTGTGACATGTGTGGCTTACTTTGAGAGGTGATGTCACGACGATTCCTATGCCTCTTCCTGGGAGGGCACGGGGACCAACGTTCGATACTGTTATTCCTTGGGTTTGGGCCCAGGATAGGAGGTTCTCGATGGCGTCCATTTGGTGTTTTGTTCAGAACTCGAGATTGGATAAGATGGTGGAGGCTGAGGCAAAGGTAGGGGTATTTTAGAAAAGTGATGAAAGCTGATTCAAGTACGACTTGACAACTTGGTAGTCAAATGCAGTCTCTGTGAGAAAAGGTCAAGGTTTATCAAGGAGCAATTACCTCATGAGGTGTAGTCCTTTAGTCTTATACCGGCAGGGTGAGCGATTCTCTCATTCGTGAACCATCGGCAGGTTTGAATGAGACTGAGATATGCAAGTCCTGAAGGCCCGGATTTTGAGTATTTCTGCTTCTGAGAGAATTCGGAGTTGCGCTCAAACCTAGATACCTCAGAATAAGACGATAGAAGGTTGGCAGCAGAGTCTTGTCGTTGTGAAAGCGTCAAGTTTGATGGGACGGACGAAGCTTAGATGAATTTCACCTTAAAGCTGAAGGGACGAATCAAATGCGCCGGGGTGCGATTCCAACGATCTGGAACAGCAGGCCCTGTCCCACCACCAAAATGCTCACCTAAATCGCTGCCGAACAAATGTACAGCAGCGGGCAGCAATTGCCAATCGGAAAGGTCGGCGCTAGTATCCACCGACTCCCCGATCCGACCTACGGGACCCCTAGCTGTCCAAATTCTCGGGGGACCGTCGCCGAGGTGAGGTAATGGAGCTGCCCCGAGCTTCCAAAAAGTGTTCCGGTCATCGAACCACTTTCAACTCCGGACTGACCAAATAGCTCACGACAGCTCCCAACGGCTCCCTCGTCCACAATCTTCAACCTCCCGACGACATCCAACAGCATGCCACCAACCCAAAGATCATAAACCAAACAAACCAGCAAAATGAAAGCCCTCGCAACCCTCCCCGCGGCCCAAACCCGCCGCGCCCTCCCCGCCATCTGCGCCGCCTGCACATCAACGACGCCCTCCTCTTCCTCCTCCATCCCCTCGCGCCGCCCCTTCTCCGTCCTAATCCGCCCACCGCCAAACTACCCAGGCCACGTCCCCCTCACCAAAATCGAGCGCGCCGCCCTCGGCCTCGGCGCGGGCATCTGGTCCCTCCTAAGCCCCTACCGAGCCGACCTCATCGCCGCCGTAGGCGAGACCACCGCGACGCCCTACTTCATCTACCGCCTCCGCGACGCAATGCTGTCCGACCCTACGGGCCGCCGTATCCTCCGCGACCGACCCCGCATCACATCCACCTCGCTCAACCTCGCCCGCCTGCGCGCCATGCCGGACAACAGCGTCGGGCGCGCCTACGTCGCCTGGCTGGACGCCGAGGGCGTGAGCCCGGACACGAGGCCCGCGGTGCGGTACATTGACGACCCGGAGTGCGCGTACGTGATGCAGCGGTACCGCGAGTGCCACGATTTCTTCCACGCGCTGACGGGTCTGCCGATTGTGCGGGAGGGCGAGGTGGCGCTCAAGGCGTTCGAGTTTGCGAATACGCTGATCCCGATGACGGGGTTCGCGGTCCTGAGTTACGCGACGATGAAGGCGGGCGAGAGGAAGCGGTTTAGGGAGATTTATGGGCCGTGGGCGGTGAAGAATGGGATGAAGGCGAAGGAGGTGATTAACGTCTACTGGGAGGAGCAGCTGGAGAGGGATGTTGATGAGTTGAGGACCGAGTTGGGGATTGAGAGGCCGCCTAATATGAGGGAGATTCGGAAGAAAGAGAGAGAGGAGAGGAGGAGGGCGCAAGAGGGTTTGAATGGGGTTTGAGAAGGGGGTGGTGTATTGTGTGTATTGTGTATAGACACGGGGTTTGTACAGATATTGTATAGTTTTTGTTTGATTTTTTTGGTAACCTTAGAGTCCTGGTGGAAATCCCACTCGGACAGAAGCCAATCTGCTACATTTTGCAGTAATGCATTATAAACGCCCTTCAACGCCGGCATGGCATCCCCTCCAGCAGACGTAGGTTCATAGTTTCCGCGCCAGAGGACTCAAAATCGAGGCAGCGACTATCTTCGAGAGACCCCCTACACACTGCGAACAGAACACTCATGCTTAGAATGGACCACCCTTTACCCTGATGACTCTGCAGACTGCACCTACAAATCCAACAAGTCATCGTCGTCATCATCCCACCCCTTACGCCTGCTCACCACGATCTTCTCCTCCTCCTTCGTCCCCGCCACGGCCTCGAGCAACTCCTTGAGCTGCGTCTCGGTGACTTTACTGCGCAGCTGCCCGCTCTGCGCGAGCATAATGAGCCTGTTCTCCACGTCCTGCGCGCGCTGCTCCTTGACGAGGCGGATGCGGCCCAGGCGGTCCGCCGCTTCCGGGTGGAGGATCTGGTTGAGGATCTGCTGGCGGGCTTCTTGTTCTTGTTGTCTGCGGTGGACGCCGGGTTAGCTGATGTCTTTGTCTTTCTTTCTTCGTGGTGGGCGGAGGAAAGAGGGGAGAGAGAGTGTGTATGGTCGGGATGGTATGGGAGTCGGTCGCGATTGAGGGGATCTAGGCGCCTCGAGAAGGGAGACGAGGGGCAAGGACAACATACTGGCGCTGTTCTTGCTGCTGCTGCTTGTTCGAGCCGCCGCCGCCGCCGGAGCTGCCTCCCGCGCCGCCTTGCGCCTTGAGCTGTTCGAGGCGGGCCTTGCGGATCTGTAGTCGCTTGCGTCAGTCCCCGATGTTCAACCGCTCTGTCGATAGAAAAGGTGTGATTTGCGTACTTGTTCCAGTTCGGAGTCGTCCATGATTGCGGGTATTTAGTCTGCGTATGTTTGCGCGGAGTGGTAAGGTGGAGGTTAGGTTGTTTGGGTCAGAGAAACGCGGGGCTCTTTCTGATCTGCCTGACGTCCAAGTTTTTGGCGGGGTGGGAGCTTGGGGTCTTTTTTTGGGCGCCTTACAAATTTCATGACGACGTGCAGTACCAACCAAATATTAACCATGGAGGCCAGCACAAGAGATCAACTTATCTTTCATTTTAACATGAGTATTTATGTCAATCTTCAATATATGTGATCAAATATTTAAAATGTCTAGATTCTGTGCTTGAATGTAGTCATACAATGCTAATACCGCCCATCAAGTAAAATACACACAGACATCCAGTCGTACAGCCGTCGACCGCTTCATTCATCTCCTCGAGGTCAGCTCTAAGGGCATGTACGACCGGTTCTTCTCCACTTGCGCCTTATGCTTTGCCTTGACCATGCCCACAACCATCTCGTTCGCCGGCAGCTTCACGCCCAGCCTACGGCCCCTCTCAATAAAGAAGCCGTTCAAATAGTCAATATCCGTCAACATGCCCCGCTGGATCTGCAACGCCATCTTGCTCGGCGCGGACCCCTTCCCTCTAAGCTTCCCCATAATCTCCTTGCGCATGCCCTCCCCCCGCAGGACGCTCTGCAGCTCGGGCGAATTCTTGACCTCGGGCATGCGCGCAACCACGTCGGCGATCTCGTTCAGGAGCTGATTGATGAGCTTATTGGCAGTCGGGTTGTAGATGAGCTCATTGTAGCGGTAGTCCAGCATGACGCAAATAGGGTCGCAGACGGCCGAGAACATGAGCGACGGGATCTTGACCTTCATCCAACTGTCGAGGGCCAGACCTTTCGCCTTAAGGAGGTCCGACGACGCAAACTGCTTCATCATCCCTTGTGTCCGCAGCCAGCTATCTGTCGAGAGGTGCTTAGACTTTTTGGGGCCGTAGTAGGGCCGCACACCGGCGAGCGCCGTCTCGTATTTGGGCGTCATCACCTTGACAGACTTTGCCTTTCGGTCAAATGCCAGGGAGTGCGTCATGTGTCCGAGCATAATCGACGGGCGCTTATCTTTCTCCGGAAAGACTCGGTTCGTGGCCGCCTCCGCGACGCCGAGTCCGTCTTGAACATAGCAGACGGCCGTCCGGTCGTCGATCCGGTGCTTAACCTTTTCGAGCAGCTTAATGCTCTCGCTCGGTCTCCCGGCCACTACGAGGTTGCTGATATGTGTATCGTCCTTCTCCACTTCTGGCGACGTCTCTAATGCGGCATTCGGTTCGATCCAGCCTTTTGGATTCTTCCTGGTGCCTAGGTTTCCGGCAATGCCCCGATATGGTGTGTTGGCCGGTATGTCTAGCGTCTTCACTGAGTCGTAAATGCCGTGCAGAGCGTGTGACAGAAATAGCGATCGCTCGTCGTTTCCGAGAACGTGAACCGTACGCGAGGAAGGTGGCGGCGTCGAGTTGTGACCCATCATGACGGCCGGCACGTAGAATCGTGACGTTGAATCCGCCCTGAAGATGGCGTATAGCTCCTTTTCGTTTTGCTCGGGTTGTAGACCCAGTACTTTATTGAATTTTTGCTTCGTCTGGCCCGGCACACCCAGAGTTGTGCCTCCAGGAACCGTAGCTGCCATCTCTTTAGGTGCCACCCTTCCAGGGGCGATGCCCTGCGGCGGCGCTGCTCCCGTCCCAAGACCGAGTCTGTTATCGATCGACACACATCTGATGGCTCCCCGGCCCGTGGAGGCGCTACCGGTCCTCCATATCGTATGTGTGTTGGGTATCCGCGCGGAGAGCCGCGGTCTCGGGAGGCTTGCCAGAGTGCCTGCCACGATGAAGGCTTCGAGGGTTCGGCGCAAATCACTGCGCAATGCTCATTAAGGGGAGGGTTGAGGCGCGGTCTCAAGCGGTTATAGCTGTAACGACTCGATAATAGTATAGTACGTCGTCGGAATTGTTGGGAACGGTGTTCGGGTATTACAGGCGTTCTTGTTCGTGGTTAATGAGCGTGTGGCCTTGTCTTTGTCGCAAGAAGGAGGCGTTGAGATGGGTGTGGATGACGGGGACACTCGTTAGATTCTCTCTCAAAATTTGGCGCGTGGTAGGTGGTAGCCGTAGAATCCCGGCCGGCAGGAACCCGACCCACCGAGCTCGCGGCGATCCCTGCGCCTCGTTAAATGCATGCAAATCCTTCAACGCTCGGATTTCTGAATTTTCATCGACCAGTCTCATCGATGAGAAGGAGCTAGCAACGGGCACTCACTTACATCCATCGCACCCATCACAATTGTTGCTTTTCACCAAGAACGACGTCCATTGTCCACATCAGGCTTATCAATTTTCATTTTTCCGCAACTACATCGACATCAACCGTCATGGCGCTCAAGGACATGACCTCCGACCTGAAGAAGCTCGATTCTCACATCGACTCTCTTGAGGATGCACTCAAGCCCCTGATTGACAACCTTCCCGAGATGGCCAACGAGCTTCCCCTGCTCGACAAGGCCAAGATGTACGCTCTTACTGCCTACGCCATTGAGACTCTTCTCTTCTGTGAGTACCTTTATACAGCAAACATATATCCTTCTCGTTGTCCCCCCTGACTAACCGTGATAACAGCATCACTCCGTCTTCAAGGCGTCGACGCCAAGGACCACCAGGTCATGACAGAACTGAAGCGCGTGCAACAGTACTTTGGAAAGATCAAGGGTGCAGAGGAGACACCCGCGCAGCGCACAACGACGGTCAACACGGAAGCCGCGACGCGCATTCTGAAAGCGGACCTTGTAAGTCGCATTTGCGGGGGGGAGAAGGTCCGGACCTGAGCAAGCAAAACTGACCAACCGCCATAGGGAAGCAACGACCAGACGCTGAAGAAGAGGCTGGAGGAGAAGCTGGCCGAGGAGCGCGCCAAGGCGCTGCTCAACTCGATGCAGAAGACCAAGAGGCCGGCTCCCGAGTCGCCGTCCGCCAGCTCCTCTGGCCCGGAGAAGAAGCAGAGGAACTCAAGAAGGAAGAGCTCCAACAAGAACAAGTCTTGAGAGCGGACTTGCGTGAAGACCTTGATGAGCGTCCACCATGCCGCTTACAAAAAAGATTTTCGTTTGGCTGTCACAGGACATGAAGGAAGAATCGACGAAACAGTTAGACGCTTCCGAGCCACGAGAGATGCTGCGAGTTTGAGGTTTGCATGGCTGTCTGATACCATGTTAGGCACATTAAGACCACAGCCGACCTTACTGCGCCATGACACGGAAGTAGGTCAACATTGGTTAGAGATTACCCTCATGGACTGGAGTGGCAGTATTATTTTGCACACTGGGAAAAAGGATACCCCCGAGATAGATATGAATATCAAGTAATGAACAAAGACTTTTCGATCCCTCGTCAACATTGTCTACGTTGAATTCGCCTTTAGAAGTAGACCACAACATCGCCACTGTGACTACTTCACACGCCCCCTTTACTACATATATCTTATCCTCCGCGACGCCCAAGCATAATATCCACCTAACCAGAAAAGGACCCCTTCCCCAATTCCTGACCACGACCAAATTCGCCCTCCCCTGATTGGCCACACCTCGCCACCCATCCCCGGCCCGTCGAGCTTTGCAACTCACGCCGAACGGCACCTCTACAGCTTTTGTCACCTTAACCCCGGGGCGCATAACTTCTGCCGACTTCCCTCCCCATCCACCCGGCATTTCTGCTCTCTTCAAAACACCACCCGCTCCTTCACCTCACGAAGTCACGATCAACGCTACCAACCACACCACCCTCATCTCACCCGAGTCCTTTACACACACACAAACCCTACCAAGATGCCTCGCCAACGCTCCGCCGGCCGCCCCAGCGCCCCCTCGCGCCCTACCGTCTCGGCCGCGAAGCCCGCTCCCACCCAGACTCGCCCGGCAACGACCATGGCCGCTCCCCCCCAACAGCACGCCGCTCCCCCGGCCGCGGCACCCGCTGCTCCCGCCGCCGCTGCGCCCTCCCAGGGCCCCGGCCTCTTTGGCCAGATGGCTAGCACCGCTGCGTACGTACCCCATCCTACAAAAGACCTACACCCGCAGGAGGAGACATCTAGACTTCCCCTAGCTCAAGGAACTCTCCGCCTTCCTCGACAATCATCCCCTCAAAAGAGAAATCTCAAGAAAGAACCAGAGGCTAACGTGATTGCTCTCTCAACAGCGGCGTCGCAATCGGCTCCTCCATCGGCCACGCCATCGGCGGCATGTTCGGCGGCGGCTCCTCCGCGCCCGCCGAGGCCGCGCCCCAGAACAACTCCCCCGTCGCCTCGGGCGAGTCCTCGACCACCCAGCAGTGGGGCAACAACTGCGCCGGCGCCACCCAGCAGTTCACAAAGTGCATGGACGAGCACGGCGGCAACATGCAGATCTGCAACTGGTACCTCGAGCAGCTCAAGGCCTGCCAGGCTGCTGCCAGCCAGTACTAGACGCTCCTTTTCTCCGTCTGAGAAGGGCGTCGTCGCGGCGTGTTGAAGAGCCACCTCTGACTGAATGATCAGTAGGGGTGGTGTTATATGTAACTTAATAGTCAAAAACGGGAAAACGGGAAAGCAAAACAAAAGAAACAAACTTGGGGCATGGAGCTTTCATGGGATTCAAACGGCATTTTTGCATTGGCGGAAGCATTGAAAGATGGGCCATTGAGGAAGAACTACATCTCCCGACGGTGTACAATACATGACATTCCCACTCGTTAAACCACCTTTGCGCTTCATCTCATGCGTTGTGATGTTGAACGTGGTTGCAATACAGCCCGGCCCCCTTACTCGTCCTTCTTCTCATCCGGCCGCGGTTCAAAGTTGAGCTATCATATGTCAGCATTAACACCTCAAACATCATCCCCCGGCCCCTCTTCCAGGGAAAGACAGGAAAGAACCTTACCGAATTGCCATTGTAAAGCTGATGATCACCCCTCCGATCATCGGGATTCGCAAACTGCGAAAACTTGCCCTTCCTCTGCTCCCTCACCGTAACCGGCTCCGCACCCTGCTCCTCAGCCGCCGCCCGCCTCGCGCCAAGCCCAGAAAACACACCAGAGACCAGCCCCCAAAGCCACTGCAGCAAAGTCAACGGCAGCAACAGAAACGTCACAGCCATCTCCCCAAACGACGAACCCCCCGCATACGCGCCAACATGCGCGCCAACAGGCGCCAGCACGAGCGTCGATGACGGCGACAGCCCCAGCTCCGCGAGGCTCTTACCCTCCTCCGTGTCGTCGATAAGCCTGCTCGGCCGCGGCGCAAGCACAACCTTGAACCGGAACGGCTCCCCGACGTTCCCGCTACCCGTAAGCTCGCTCTCAACCCACTTGCGCACCTCCCCGCCAAGCGTCTTCCCGCTAGGAAACCGCGACCGGATCGTCGACCCGTCCAGAAGCCGGACCTGCAGCGCCGTCATCCCGCTCGCGGCCGAGCTCGACGGCGCAAGCGAACTCGACTCAGACCTCGTCAGCGCGGCCGCGACCTCCCCCAACTTGGGCGACGCAGCCTGGGTCCTAAGCGCAGCGCGCTCCGCGGCTTTCGCCCTCCTCTCGGCGCGGTCGTCCTCAATCTTCCTCAGGATGCGCGCCTTTTCGTCGGCCGCCTCCTGGCGCGCTTTCTTCAGGGCCTCCTTGTGGTTGCGCGTCTGCTCCGCCTGCTTGGAGTTGTCCGTCTCGGCCTTCTCCGCCGCCGCGGCGCGGGCTGCTTTTGCCTTCTTTTCGGACTCGAGGCGCTGGGCTTCCAGGCGGGCGCCGCGCTCTGCGAGAACGGCGCGGAGGGTGGCGGCGTTGTCTTCCTCTTGGGTTGGGGTGGCGGGGCCGCGCGGGCTGGAGGAGGAGGTGCCGGGCCGCGCGGGTTGCTGGTCCGTGGTGACGGGGCCGGCTACGGCGGCGCGGGGAGGGTTGTACGGGGTCTCGTCGTAGAGGTCGTCGGTGGATTGGGCGACCGGTGCGGAAGCTGAGACTGGTGCTGGAGTGGCTGCCGCGGGCTGAGCTGCTGCGGCTGGTGATTGGCCCTGAGCGCCGCGGAATGCGGTTGTGATGCGCCTGACGAACTCATCCTTGCTGGTGCCGGCCACGATGTACTCCTTGAGGTCGCCATTCTTGATCACGACGACGGTAGGTGTGTTGGGCAGAGGAAAGATGGCGGCCAGGTAGCCCGCCTCTTCCGATCCCTTCTTCAGGCGCAGCGCAACGGCTTCGTCTTGAAGTAGAGTCGCAATCTGGTCCAGTCATTAGCCCCTGCGGCGAGGTGTCTTCATCGTGGGAAGCTCAAACACGTACCGAGCTCTCTGTTAGATACTCATCCTCCCAAGTCTGGCTCTCGGCTTCCTCATCTACGTCTCATCAGTAAAAGGTCTTATGGCATGCGCATGAGCTGTGAGATGTGAGCTTACCTGTGACAAAGCAAAAGACGCATTTGCTCTGCTGAAGTGCAGTGGCAATACCCTCTTGCAGACCTCCCGTGAAGAACATGATGATGATGATGATGAGGATATATGTAAGTCTCTAACAATCTCTCTCTGGGTTGAGTCTAGAAAGCCTGTAAGTTTAGGGTTGAGTGTTGCCCTGAGAAGAAGAGGGATACGGACGCTGTGGAGCTCAATCTTGGACGATGCTGAACCTAGATTTGAGATTAACCACCAAAGCTTTCAAGATGTCAATTATAGCCTATTCTCGATTTTTCCACGGCCGCTCTTCGTTTCGATATTGAGCGATATTGCCTTGTCGTCTGATGAATATCCAGGAGCTCAAAGATGACGAAGGAACAAGTGTCGTCCGTGTAGCTGCGAACGGCGCCAGGGGACCTTGCCTTAGTCCAATGTATCCCTCTCTTCCGGGGGCGGACACCGAGCCACCCTATTGGCGTCGCCCCCACCTTTTCCACGCCACTCCACACTGAGGTACGTCCCGTTGCTTCTGCAGCTTTTGGAGCTCCCAGCTCATGCGCTTTGCATTTCTCGCTGCTCAGGTACCCTAGAACGGGCCGGCCGGACCCCAAAAAACCGAAATATCCTGACCTCATCATCCGTGCCGGCAAGCTCTCACTTGAGAAGGCCTCCCACCCGCATCACCACCGGGGGAACCACCAATCAACCAGCCCCGAACCTCGCAATGCTGCCTCCTTTACCACGAGCGCTCTTCCGGGCCCCAGGCCCCGCGGCGCAAACCTGCCTACGCTCAATCGCCCGTCCAAGAACATTCCCTTCAGCGCAATCATCACCATCATCACCACGCGCACCAACAGCCCGTAAATTCCACACCACTTCCCGCGCCCGCGCCTCCGAACCAGCCCCCGACTTCCACTCCATAGTCGACAACCCCCCCGAACTCGTCCGCGCAGGAAACCGCCACGGCCCAGGCCTCATCATCCTCGCCCTGATCCCCATCACAGCCTTCGCCCTCGGCACATGGCAGGTCCAGCGCCTCGGCTGGAAGACGGACCTCATCGCCAAATTCGAAGACCGTCTCGTCCGCGACCCCCTCCCGCTCCCGCCCAAGATCGACCCGGATGCCGTGGCCGATTTCGACTACCGCCGCGTCTACGCCACGGGCCACTTCCGCCACGATAAGGAGATGCTCATCGGCCCGCGCATGTGGGAGGGCGAGCAGGGGTACATGGTCGTGACGCCGCTCGAGAGGGAGGGGGAGGGCACGACGGTGCTGGTGAATCGCGGGTGGATCAGCAAGGAGATGGCGGATCAGCGGCGGAGGCCTGGCGCGCTGCCCAGGGGGGAGGTCACGGTTGAGGGGTTGCTGCGGGAGCCGTGGAAGAAGAACATGTTCACGCCTGAGAATAGACCTGATCGCTGGGAGTTTTTCTTTCCTGATGTGCACCAGATGGCGCAGCTGACGGGGAGTCAGCCTGTTTGGATTGAGGCTACCATAGGTATGTTGTGGCCTATTTCCTTGTTTCCCTGGAATCTGAGCTGCCTTCTTGGGGGCTTGCTCTACAAGATACAAAGCTCATACTCATACTGACTTTCTTCATAGAGCACGAGTTCTTCCGCATCGTGGACCTCAAGTCTAAGGGTATCCCTATTGGCAGAGCCGCGGAGGTGAATCTGCGGAACAACCATGCCCAGTACATCTTCACATGGTAAGTCCGACCAATCCCTGCTTCGTATATCATTCATCCCTCCGTGATGCCTCTACCACAGTCGGTACTGACATCCGACAGGTACGGTCTCGCATTCGCCACCTCAATCATGTTGTGGATGGTCGTAAAGAAACCCCCAACCGACACCGCGCGAAAGGTGCGCATGAATAAGCATTGGTAAGGATTTGCTCGGTTTTCCCTCACTGAAGGGACCAACATCGCAGTCGTAGTGGGAGCAAGTCGACCTGTTCAAGTCACTTCCTCCTGTCCGCCGTCGGTCACGCGACGGCGCTTCTTCCTCGGCTCCGCCGGTGGCAGCGGCTTGGGCATCCTCAACTCCTGCAACAGCTCCCGGGGCAGGTGTCTGTGTGCCAGTGAAAAGGGGGTCGTCGTCGAGCTAGTCTGGCGCTGTCTGTAAGGATATTAGACACCATTGTATTTGTACCAAAAGAACAAAAAGCTTGTGGATATAAAAAGGGAAACCCCCTTGCCCTCAAAAGACTGTCGATACCCCTGAATTGGAGCCTGCAAAGTTCGAATAGCGAGAACTTCAAAACCAGAAAAGACATACCTTCGCATGAGAGTGAGCATATCACTCTCATCAATAGTCTTGCGCTTGGCATGCTTCGCGTACGCAGACAAATCGTCGCCCAGCTGCTCAAAGAACCAGTCCGACGCCCTCTGAATCTCGGCCAGCGTGTCCGGGCTAATCTTGGTCTTGCCGATGCCGCTCGACTTGGCAAACGTGTTGGCCAGCCGCTTCACCACAGCGGGCGGCAGAGACGGGTACTCCACGTTGTACTTTGACAACTTTACGCCGCGCTTCGTCTTGCGCGGCCTCTGCTCTTGCTCCTGCTGCGTGGCGCTTACCTCCGTCTGTCCGTCCAGGCCTCCTTGCGTCGCTTCGGTGGGTTCGATGGGCGTCGAGCTGCGCATGTCGTAGTACGAGTTGCCGAAACCCAGGTCCTCGTCCAGCGGGACCGCTGGCTCGTCGTCTACCGGCGCAATGTTAAGCGACGGCTGTTCGTCTGTGATTTCGGGCAGCGGTCGTGCCGGCGAGCTCTGCCCGTCCACCGCCATCATGAATGTCGTCTGGTTATCCGCGTCAACAGGCACCTCGAACCCGAAATCGCTGTCCCGCGCTGAAGCCAGAGTCTGCCGCCTCAAATCTTCCTCCTCAGCTCTGTTGTTCCCACTCCGTCAGTAATGAACCCTCGCCACCGCTAAGATATAGCCGCAAAACTCACCTGTCCAACGTATCCTCCGGCTCCCTCCCCTCCTCGTCCAACGCCCCAACCTCAAACGCAGGAAAGAACCCTTCCCCGCGATCATCATCGTCGTCGTCGAGGCCCCCGTAATTCCTAAACTCGCTCAACCTCGCGCTCCCCAACGACATGCGCGACGGCTGATCCACATACGCCCGGCGCGGGAACTCAATCGTCGCATTCTCATCAATCTGCGACAACTCAGGCGCAACAAGCTCGTCCTCGTCGTCGTCCTCAACGTCGAGCGGTAACGACAACCGCGGCCTATCGATCGGAAGCTCGTCATCGTCGTCGTCGTCATCGTACACCGTGCCCCTCCGATTCACCGTCCGTATCGGCAAACTCGCGCTCGGCCCCGTTGCTCTCGATCCGACATCGCTGGGCGACGAGGACGACGAGATGGGCTGCGTGGTGTGCTTCACCACGCGACTCAACCCGCGCAGGACATCGTGCAGCGACTCCCTCCGCGGCCGGAAGCTCTCGCGGCGTTTGTTCCCGCCGGGCGTCAGCGCGGCGGCGCGACGCTGGTCGATTGTGCGGTATGCTGCGCGGGCGTGTGGCGTCGCGGCGAGGGAGCGGCGGCCCGAGGCGGAGAGGCCTCGGTAGCCGCCGGCTGAGCTGCGTAGGGAGGAGCGTAGCGGGTTGTTGCTGTTGTTGTTGGAGGGCGTGCGTGGGAGGAGGGAGGCGCGGCTGGAGGGGGGGTCGAGGCTGAGGGCGCGGCGGTTCGGGGTTACGGTGTCGAGGGCGGAAGAGAAGAGGGGGTCGTCGTCTTCTGCGCCGGCGGCTGCTGCAAGGCGCGGGTTGAGGGGGGTTGTGAATGTTGGTGAGGAGGACATCGTGCGGGTTTGGCTTGCGACGGGGTCGCCGTGCGCCGGTTTGGTTGTGGTGTTTGTGCTCTCGGAAAGCTCAGGGTGTTGGTATGGATCTGCGTTGGGAGGACGTGGTGATGGTTGGGACGTGATCGTCCTGTCGCGAGACAATCAGGTCGCCGGACGGGCTTGCAGTGTGCCGACGTTAATCTGTCGCAAAAGCGATCGAAGTGACCACGGGTGGTGTGGAGTTTGTCGACGGTGATATGAGGTGGGCGCGGCGTCAAGGTGCCCCCCACTGTCTCGGAGCTTTACCTTGGGAAGACGCGACACTCGACGCGCCTACTGAGGTGCGGCGGATGTCATCAAAAAGGCAGATTGGCGCACAGACCATTTTAGATATCCGGTATATCGGCCCCACTTCGCCGGTTCTTCAACGGGACACGGGGGTTCCTACAGCTACACTGTCCACAGGAAAGACGGCCAAAAATTAACCTCATCGACGAGTCCTGCCACTTGAGCATTTCAAAAACGAGCATTGATTCTCGCAGGTCATGTCCACACGAGTGTTGACTTTTGGACTCCTATATAAGGCGTTTCCATCCCTAAGAGCCCATGATCTCCACGGCGCCTGAGTCCGCGGCGTATGCCATTTCCTTCTTCTTTGTCTTGACGGCTTTGTAAAAATCAACTTGCATGGGAGATTCTGCCTCGGCCCTCGCCGTGGTACTGATTAATAGGAGCTGCAACACCGTCATGCTCACTGTTGTGTCTCGCAGGGTCTCACCAATACTGAAAGGTTGAATGTCATACTCGATGGTCCCCTTGATTGGCAACAGGGTTCTTGGTCTCCTCCCGGCCTTGCCCTCAGCCGAGGTCCGATCGTGATGGTTGTCTGCATTCCTGAGGGACGCTTGTCTGCCTGACATCTGTCTCTGCTTTCCTCTAGAGCCTCCAGTGTGGCCGTCCTCACCAGGGCCTTCTCTCGTGGTGTCCCTAGCAAGGCATCCATCGAGCAACGACCTTGAGCAGCAACTCTCGCTTCTCGGGTCTTCTGATATAAAATGGTTTCGCGGGTGTCTGTTCCTTGAGCAGAGCTCGTATTCAATTATCCCACCTCAGGCAATTCATAGTTCTCTCCTTCCTCTCCTCAGCTTCTCTATTACTTATAGCTTCCTCGATGAATAATCTCGGGATAAGTCTATCAATACCCGCCCTTCTTGAAACAGTGAACGCCCTTTTTTTCATTTAAGAAAAGCTTAGACTAGCTTCCATCAACACTGGGATACCGAGTTGCAATGGCGGCGGGAGCTAGAGTTAGAGCCTGGAACTATTTCCCTCCTTGTAGAATCGACACTAGGTACAATATGACACCATAGCAAAGTGTTCATCCACATCAAGGCACTTGCTTGGGTAGGAATTAAGATTTTTCATTAACAAAGGATAGAGATAGTATATAGAAGTCATTGAATATGAGACGTTTGTACCAGGGACGTTATGTGACGACAAATCTCTATATAGAGTCAATACTTCGGGCATCATTTCCTACTATCTCACAACAAGATAAGTACCAGCTCACAATCTTTATTAACCCCAACCAACGCTCTTAAATTACCACTAGTCACAGCTCAAATATTCATCCAAGAATATACTCACAAAAGTGCGAGGCATTATTTGAATGCTATTATGACCTCCGTGATCAGCATATGTCGTACAGGCTCACGAACGCGTAGGAGAGCTTTCGTTCATCCCCACCAAACGTATTTCTTTCTTCCTTTTGCCTGCGAACGGTAGGATCTGGGAATCCAAACCAACGACAGTTGTCTTGCCTTCGGGCCACGAGTACAGATGACCCTTTTATTGCTAGTGTAGAAGCATCGGCGGGCTCGGTCATATACGCCCTCGCCTATGCTCTGGGAACCAGGGTTGCTTCGCTGCAAGGAAGCATCTGCTCCCAAGGACCTAATCGATGTTTCGATGAAGTGCTGCCTAATGTGTCTTAGAGAGTCGGAGTGCAGGGCCTGCTTTACCTGTTCAACCCTCACATGCCATCCGCGGATCATTGCGGGAGCCTTCAATCTCGATTGTCATTGAGGCAGAATACTGAGGTCGATGATCGTCCTTTGGCAGTCCAGGGTCTGCTCGAACTAGGCCTTCCAAATCCCGACTGGTGTCTGGATAATGCTCACCCGCTCTATCACGGAACTTCCGACCTCGCATTCAGCCTGTCTACCGAGGTGGAGAACATTTATAGATTGTCTAGATTGCGGAGGTCATCTCTCCAAACATCGCGAGATAAGAGAGATATAAGATCAACGTGATCCGTCGCCGAAGGCAATGAATGCGGCCTGCGATGAACTACATCACCAACTAGAATCCACCTAACAATCACCTCACATCATAGCGCCCAACAACCAAACGCACACTATGACGGACAACCTCATCCTCTTGACCGGCGCAACAGGCTTCGTAGGCTACAAAACCCTCATCACCGCCCTCGAAGCCGGCTTCCGCGTCCGCTGCGCCGTGAGATCCAGAGCCGGCATCGACAAGATCCTCGCGGCGCCGAGCATCAAAAGCAACAACCCATCAAAAGACCAGCTCTCCTGGACAATTGTACCCGACATCTCCCACCCGGGCGCATACGACGAGGCCGTCCAGGGCGTGACGTACATCATTCACTGCGCGTCCCCCGTGCCCACCTTCGGCAAAGACGAGCGCGTTGGAACGGAAGAGGAGGTGTACGTCAAACCCGCCGTCGCCGGCGTCCTCGGTCTCCTCGAGAGCGCCAAACGTCACGCGACAAACACCCTCACGCGCGTAGTCGTCACGAGCTCGATCGTGGCCGTCATTCCGATGGAGTGCTTCATGGGCCAGGGCCTAGACCGGCCGGCCATTGATGGAGAATCCCGGGTGGCGACACCGGTCGCCCCGTTCGGATCCGGATTCGGAGCCTATCGCGCGAGCAAAATCGCCGCCCTGAGTGCTTCGGAGGCCTGGGTGAAGGAGCACGCTACAAGTACCAACTTCGACCTCATCTCCGTCATCCCGGCGTGGATCTGGGGCCGCGACGAGCTATCGACGACAGCCGAGTCGCTCCTTTCGGG